TATGAATGTTTTGGGGTCAATGATAAAAACAAATGCTAGAAAAAGAGTCATCCAAAAATGTCCAGACGAGTAACATTTATAATAGCAGGATATTGGAAATAGCTTGAAACTCCAGTAATTAATAGCACAAAAGTGAAAATAACATAAATGAAATAATTGAGGATTTTTAAAATGAATTGTGGTACATATATAATATGTAGTAATATGGGGCCACTTAAAATGGTTAGGAAGTAATTTATTGATGGTAGGAATGTGATCAACAGGGATAGTCTTTGGAAGTTTTCTTTTAATGCTTCACTGCACTGAGCATTATTTTTCTTTAGAGTGGAGAAAGATGAGTAAGATCAACAGGAAGAAAATAAATCAGGGAGGACAAGACTTCTTCAGGGTGGGAGAAGCACCTGGGATATTGCAGGGGCTGTACTTCCCTTTGCCTAGAGGTTCCCTTTGCTTCTCCTTTACTGAGCCAAATCCTACTCGTTCTTCAAATCCAAATTAAATATTTCCTCTGTGAAATGATCCTGAACTCTGTCTCCTGAGTGCAACCTATTCCTTATTTTTTCAGATTACAACGTATTGTAATTTTGTGCTTTTACTTATGTGTTCCAAAAGCTCTATTTCTTACAGTACAAGTTAACAACATATTCTTTTTGCATACACCTGCAGATACCAAAATGTCTGTTAGATAAAACTTTTTGGATACATATATGCTGAGGGAATAGATGCATGAAAGAATTAATAATTCAAAATGAATACAAATTCAAAGAATTACAAAATGAATAAGTAGATTAGGTAATTTCTAAGGAAGCTTCCAGGTTCATGATTCTTTCCCCAAATATGCAAAAAGAGTAAAGATTTCAGTTGCAGTACACATTTGCTCAACAATATATATTGAGGAAATCAGTAATGTAAAAGGTGAATTACTTTAATTTTAATTTTATATTATATATATATATATATATTGATGGGTACATATTTATTTATTGATATGTTGATATATTAAGGGACATGTTGTGATTCTGTATATCCCTTAGAGAAAATTGCTCTTAATAGGCATGATAATTTAGTTCCTTATGTTTTAATAAAATCATCAGTTCCCCATTTTACAAGACTCTCTCATCATGAATAATTTTAAACTCACTGACAAGACTTTTTAGTTATAAGAGTATCAATTCAGTGTTTTTGTAGAATAATGCCATAATGTTTCTGATTTAGAAAACAGAAATACAACTTGTTTTTATCATTGTGAGCGCATTGTATTATTCATAACAAGTGCAAATGACATTTTAAAATTAATGTTAAGAGAAAAGGCACTTAAAATTAATCTTGTCAACAATGTTTAGTTTTGGAAATGAAAACTAAGTCAACTTACTTCCTTTCCCTAGAAGTGCTGCCACTGTTGTGACATTGTGTTTCATTTTGTAACCCATCTGCTACTTAGGCCAGATATGCATTTTCTGGATGCAATCTGTTGGTTTCCAATGGTTTACTACATGGTGGGCTCTATTGACAAGTAGGTGACAAAATCTTTGGCACACTAACTAGTGTGGTGTCCTGTGGTTTGTCATGTGCTGCACCCCTGTGTTGCATGATGAGTGTAATTTGCCATTTCAGTGTTGAAAATATGTTTATTGCATGTGGAGCTTATGTTCTCATGTTATACATCTTGCATTCAAACTTCCTAAGCAGTAATCTGTTGTTGAATTAAAACAAATCTTGTTGCATGTCAATTTTGTTCCCTTTCTAAAGCTATTCCAGTTTTGTGTCATCTATAGCAGTAACTTTATTACTGTTAACATCTTTGTAGAGAAAACCTAGAATTTCAACATTGTGATGCATTGGTATCATTATCATAACTTCTGGAAACCTTCAAAATAATTTGGAAATGCTCATTTTAAATCAGATTTATTAATTGGAGCATTTCCTTGACAGTCTATTCTGGTAACATATCAGAGTCTTCCAAATTTGTTAATTAAAGGTCAAATGTGTGCAATGCTTCAGTTTTAGAATACAAATTGTTATATGCATAAAGATGACATTATAACAAATACAAAAACTACAAGATCAGAAAACTAGTATGCTTATAAAATGTGTTAATTTTCCATTCTAAAAAAAATCAGCCCAAAACATTCCAAATAAAATGCTAAAAGTTATCCACTGAGAACTTTCATGCTTACATTTCATCTTGTAGATGCTGAAAAACAAAGCTTTGTAACTTTGACAGTGTTTATTGGCTGTGGACACATTAAAGGCCAAACAGATTAACATATATTTAGCTTCCATTCTACATTAATATAATTTATGTTATCAGTTGCATAATACTAACCAACTAACTAAAATGTAGATGTACTAAAACTATTATTTAAATCCATGAAAATGAAATCAATCCATATTTTATTAATAGTAATGTTTCTTTGTTGTGAGAGTATTCTATTAAAATTCATTAGAACATTATATTTATAAGATATAAAATAAACCTCTCATCTGTCTTCTTTGATGTAAACTATATAATGAATTCTCCATCTATAAAAGTATTTACGGGGAGGAAAAGAAGAATGGAAAGGATCAAATCCCTGGGATTAGAGATGAAACAAGATTGACTACAAGTTGCTAATTATTGAAGCTGGGTGATTGGTACAGGAGGTTCAGTATATAGTATTCTCTTCTGCTTATGTTTGAAATTTTCCTTAAACATAAATAAGCAAAGAAAATCATGAATGAATTAGAACACACTCACAAACATTCACCTATATTCATTCCTTTACATTCTGGTTCTCTTTGAAAAGGAAGTCAGAGAAAGGTAGAAAGAGGGGCAATGTCAGTTAGATGATCTGTAACTGTTTTTCATCCATGTTGACTTTTTTCTTGGGCCACCATCTGGTGACCAAACTGCGTAAAGCAATAGTGCTAAAGAAAAAATGGGCAGTGGCTTTGTAGATAAGATAGTGGGGAGAAATTATGGTAGACACAGAATTATAAGAATAAATCGGTAGCCAAATAAAAAAAGGAAAGAAAGAATACAATACAATATTAAATGAATATAAATAATTTAAAGTTAAAACATGAAGAACAAAAAAGTTTCTACGTGGTTCAGAAATGCCATTCCAATTTTATATATTTTCTATAGATTCTATAGATTTCTTTAGATTTAAACTCATATTTAATAATAATTACTAAAATCATTTGCCAAAGTTATGTGTCAACTACAACGGCCAATATTTTGAGTATGGAATTAACTGATATATACAGGTTTAGGTAGTTAGTGACTAATTAGTAAAGGAATTCTCATAGCTAAGTTTTTTGTTAAGTCTCAACTTCATTGATTTATTGCTGATGAAATATTCATATTTTATTATCACTTCTATTTGTGTATCTTTTTTCAGTCAAGCTTACCTTCTACCACCTTATCTTTCCCTTTTCCTATATAGAAAATTATAATTTTTTAATCAGGGAAGTAAAGATTGTAAGAAATGAAATATGAGAAAGTGGATTACCACTAAAATAAGGTTGGTGAAGACATAAGATTTAGGCATCATTTTTATGGTACATAAGGGACCATATCACATTCATTTTCCACCTACTTTTTTCTTTTTAAAAAATGTATTTTAATAGATGTAAGAATAATTATGAATTTCCTAGCTAAAAGGAATACCCTAGTAAAGTGTTCCTAGAGATTTAAACTTGGTCATCATATTGATTGGATGTTATGGTCCTGGCCCCTCTCACCATAGGAAATTTATTTGGAGTAACATTCTGTTTCCACAGTTTTAGCCATAAAATCCCTGCCACAGAACACTGTGCCTGATTCAAGCGAAATATTTTTTTCTGGACTACTCCTGGGGATCTTTGACTCAAAGCTTTGGTAATACTCTCTCGCCATATAAAAGAGTAAGAAATCCTGCCTCTTGCCTTCCCATAAAAGGAAAATTCCTTCTAGTGAATTAGTGAGATGACTAATTCAAGTGATCATGCACTTGGAGAAGATCCTTGGGGAACTGACTCTTCCATTTAAGAAGCTAAAAAGAGCTACTGTTCTTTAAGTTTTACACTTCTCATTTTAAATCAAAAGATGTAGAAATCAATTAGCCCAATTCTCCTTATCTATCTTCAATCAGTCCTGAACCTAGAATACTCTTGCACTCATTCAAGTTTTGATACAATCTCCCTTATCCAGTTCAGTCCTATTTTTATAGTTTGTATGAAGCAAAGGCAATGAGATAATGGTTTTCTTAATTCAGCTTTTATGGTAACATTGTTTTTAAATTCAGTGTGAGGTAAAATTTTTATCAGTGATAGGGGAGAAGACTGACTCTGTGGTAACTCATAGGAACTTGTGTCCTAGTTTAGCAATTATTTCCCGCAACCAACAAAATTACTTCATTCAATCACTTGCTCAAAAGTGGCTAGAAGGTAGGCTTGAATGCATCCGATATTTATATATTTTACATGCTCTTGGCTGTGTAGAACCAATCTATAACACATAGCTTTACACAAATAAATAATAGACATTTAAAAATAATTATTTTTAATAAATATATTTCTTTATTAGGCTTGACCATCTAAATTAATATGTGTTCATTTCTATTCTTACCAAAAGTGCCTCAGGGATAAAAAATGTGAATGTCGTGTCTTTGAAATAATGTGCTAATTGTAAAAACAGGGCTCTAACATGTTCTAATTCTATTTGATTGTAAAATGGGTGTTTCCATGTTTTATTTATAAAATTAATAAGTATTATTAAATAAAGATCCTTAACGCGTGCTTTGAAATGGTTGAGATCTAATGAAACATAAAGAAACCCCAAATACAATTTACTTCATATCAGTAGAGAATATTGTCTTATATTAGTTCCCATAACATCTACCAGTGTCCACTCTGTGAAAGCCACGTATAAGGGCAACCTATACACCTATAAGCGCAGGGGTGTAAGCAAGTTTTAGCACCATCCTAGTACTGAGATTTATTGAAAGTTCATTTTTCTCTGTTGGTTTTTATCAAAGTCTAGACGATTTACTCAGGTGTGGAGTGACTTTCGCTGCCAACATGGTGGTTGTGGACAAAGAAAGCACCATGAGTGCCGAGGAAGACTACATGGCAGATGCCAAAACGATTGTAAACGTGCAGACCCTTTTCAGGTAAATGTCTGGATAACCCAGCCCTTAAACATCTATGAGATATATGACTCTGTGTATAAAGAATGAACATGAGACATTTATACTGCAGTTATGTTTATTCCTTTCATCATAAAACAAATACTTATTTAGGACCTAATGTATGGCTGGTACTGTGTGAAGTTTACTTTTTAACATCAGGTCAGCAGTTCTTTTAAAAATAAAAAGAATAATGCATTTGTTTTTTCGTATAGTTTAAGAAATTCTAAAAAGCTGTGTGCAGTAGCAGTCATGATTTTTGCCAAACCACGCATGTTTAATTTTGGTTTTATGCCCAGCAGTAGCCAAAGGTATGCATTTACATACTGAATAACCAGGAAGAAAAGATCGCAAGGCTAATATACCCATGTTAGGAGCCAAGTCACAATGTTATCCTCACTTCCTCATGAAAGACACTTCCTGTCTTTCAATAATTAAACCCATCCTGGTAGGAATTCCCGTTAGGGTCATCTTTGCGTAAGAATGAGCAATACTGACCAGAGAAAAGTGCATGCTGTGAGCAAAGTCAAAACTGCCAATAAATCAAGACATCGGCGTCACTTGGAATGATTCTTCCTAAAATCATCTTAAAATTTAAATAACTAAAAGATCATTATTTCAGTTTTATGAATTTTGCAGAAGTCTAAAGGAAATATCTGAGCTACCAAATTATGAAAGTGAATAAAGCAATCTGAACTCTATCTTTATCTCCCCTCACTTCATACCTTTGTATTGTAGTAAACCATATATTGAGGATAGTTATCTGCTTATAGTTTGAGGTCAGAATTCAGGAGAGAGAGCCAAGTTGTGTGTCTCACTTAAGTTGACTATTTATTATATGATCTTAGGCAAATTACTTTCCTTCTCTAAACCTTGATGTCTTAATCACAAGGTTGTTGGAGATTTAAGAACATATAATGCCTTAGTACCTGCCTGGTCGTTTTCAATTTCTCAATAAATGTTAGCTACTATAATTATTAGCCATAGACTTATCACTTACGTGGGGCAGAGTGGAAAAGCTACAGACCTTGGAACAATATAGCAACAAACTTCATCTGACATGATCTCTATCCCAGAGGTTCCCGCAGAAAATTACTGTGACTTTGAGTATGTTTCTTAACCTCATTGAAATTCAGTTTCCCTCATCTATAAAATGCATGTGGAGAATAATTAACCCTTCTTACAGTGTCAGTGTGAGGACAGGAAATCAGGTATGTAAAGAATCTGTCACAGCAATTGGAAAAATCTACCCTAACTTGCATTAGAATCTCCTCCTGTTCCAGAAGGAGTAATACACCCTCTAAAGTTACTGTAATGGGCAGTTCATTTAGAATATAGCTAACTAGTCATTGAGCTATGTAAATAGTACATTTAAAGGTAGCATAGCACATGTTGAAAATATGACATATATATAAGCATTCTTTTTTCTCTAGAGAATGAAAAAGGAAACCACAGGGTGGAAAATGAATTCAGATAGATGAGATTTATAGCCAATGAATAAAGTGAAATCATACTTTTTGATTCCATGCTTGGCAAAAGCTAATTATAGTTTTAACAGGAGAGGATCCTGGTCTTTTTGATTAAACGTGCCATTTTAATTTTCAGCTTATTGTGAGTTTATTTCTCTTATGGTGACAGTTCTATTGGTTTGACATATTCTCTGAATGAATTATTTTTATTTCAAGAGAATAATAAACTCCCATCTTACTGAGAGGTGCAAAGGCTCTAATTAATCTTTTTCAATGAACTAGATGACCAGAATAACTAAGGGCAGCTGCACATGTGGTTGCTGGTGGTGGGAAGGCCGCCTTCACTGAGTACCTGGTGGAGGAGGCATCACATATTGAAAGAATGACTGGATGAGTGAATGAGTGATTTTGGATCTTTTCACTATTAAGGTTACCTATCTTCAGCAGAACATTTTAGAAATTATGCAATTTGTATGGCTCATAAAAACATCTAGACTGAATACTTTCAAGCAGAAATTTGAGAAGAACTATGAAATACCCAGATTTTGTTCTCTCTTTTCCTGTGTCTGTAAAGGCATTATCATTTTTCTAAGTATATAACAATATTTTTCAGGAAAAAAAAATTATGGTAGACCCACAGATATAGAAAACAAACTTATGGTTACCAAAGGGGAAAAGGAGGGGAGGGATAAACTATGAGATTGGGATTAACATATACACACGACTATATATAAAATAGATAACCAACAAGGACTTACTGTATAGCACAGGGAACTCTACTCAATATTTTGTAATAACCTATAAGGGAAAAGAGTCTGAAAAAGAATATATATATATATATATATATATATATATATGTATGTGTAACTGAATCACTGTGCTGTACACCTGAAACTAACACAACATTGTGAATCAACTATACTTCTATTTTTAAAAATATGGTAATATTTAAAATAAACTTTAAAAAATCTATGAAACTTTTTTATGGAGTAATTCATCAGCTGTTAATCTAGGCATGCTAAACTAGGCTAGTCTTACGTAATAAAAGAGTCAGTCAGATACAAGTGGGTCCCTATGGTATATGGAATACCATTTATGTAGATAAATGACCCAAATCGTACAGACTTGGTAGTTTCATTTTATCGGTGCAGTCAGTCAGATATCACCCTTGAGGTCACTCTGCCACATTCTTTGAAGGTTTCATTTCTTGATTCACTGTGACTCTTGCCAACCCTGCTTCTACCATAATTCTTGATGTTTTCAAAAATCCTACCCAGATGGTCCTTTCGATGTCTGACCGTAGCCACCTATTCTCGTGGTCATTAGAATACCAATAGTTCCTCCCCGCCATATTCTGAATTTCATTCAACTCTCTGAGCACTACTACTTATTTTCTACCTCATTGCTTCCCATATCCCCCACTCCGAACAGTCCTTTTCTGCTGGAATCTACTGTCCACTGATTCTACTGTCCTTAGTCACCTGAGGGCTCTCTTCCCTCTTTACCTGGATTAAACTCCAAGATCAGTCATGACAAACAGTCCTGTGCTGAAACCCTAAACAGCCAATTACTGATTATCTACTATGGGCTAACACAGATCTCAACTCTGTTTCCTTTTTCTGTCTTCCTCCTACTCCCAGTTTTCTGTCCTTTCAGATTTTCTACCCACCAGCTTGCATGAAATTTCCTAGAGGCAGATGACAGCACTCCAGAGAGAGGATCCAGTTACTCTTATAAGTAAGCGTCAGGCACCCAGAAGTCCAGTCACAGTGGGTGGATAGCAGACTATTTATTCAGGAGAAAAGCCTAGGGCCCCATCTCCAAGGCAACTAGATTCTTACACATCGAGTATGCAAGAGTAAATAGTGTTAAACATGATTAAAGAACACAACTTAGGTAATACAAACAAACTTTAACACTTCATGAAGTGGACAGTCTGCATTGCCAAGGGTACAGAGAACTCCAAACTGGGGTGAGAGGCAGAAAGTTTTTATAGCTTAAAGAATAAGAAACAAGGAAGAGAAAAAAAATAGGAAATGAATAAGGAACAAGGATACAAGTACAGAGCCCAGAGTTGGCTTGGCATTTGGGGGTTGGCTGACTTGACTATAATCTATATCTGGTCAAGTGGGACATTTACAGGAACAGGAAGGTTTAGGTTTTGGTTTGCTGATGTGGCACCCAGGGCAGGAGCCACTCCATCTTGGGCCTAGAAATTATTTCAACAATAGTAGGTCTAAAAGATCTCAGCCAATCCTTGCATCTTTATGACCATCATTCATTCCTCAAACGAGAGCCAATTTCTTACTGGCTAACTAGTAAGGCTGGGGTGTTGATAGAAGTCTGGCTAACAGAAGTCATTTCAATTCTGGGATGTGTACTCTTATTACAAAAACAAACTGTGCCACCCCGGGTGGTGAAATAGAATGCTTAGCTGCACCTGGAGTTTCTCTTAAACCAAACCTTGAACCTATCACACTGTTTATGCTGAAGCATTTTAACGTAAAGTGAGAACTATCTTAAGAGTCATGCAGCTGGTATTGATGGAGCTTAGGATTTAAATCAGAAGTGTCCCAAAGTCTAACATTAAGTTCATTTTAATCTAGGCAGCCTGAATGTGCCCACACTATTGCATCATCCTGCCAAGCAAGGTTGCTGAAAGGACTAAGTGAGATGATTTCTGAGAAGCACTCAGCAGCGCCAGGCACATAATAGGCAGATAATAATTGGCAGTGTCCTCAAGTTGCAGTTTCTAAAATATCGTGGTCATGAAAGTGTGTAAGCAGACATTATGGTTACTTTACTAGTTAGAAAATTGGGGCAAGAATTTAGATGCAATATTTTCTTTGGCTTATTTATTTCTAGGAGACAATCAAATCTTGTGATCTCCATAGTATCTGGATGGTACTAGGCAGATAAAGAGTACTGTATACTGTTACTTTATATGGGGTGATGCTACATTTTATGCTAGCATTTCTGACTGTTTAGCTGTTTGGGCCATGCCATTTTAACTTGATTATTTTGACATTCTGTTTGGACGTGGGGTTTTTTGACTTTTACATTTTTTGCTTCTAAAACTGTGAAGGAATGTGTTAGAGAAGTCTTCAATCTGTGCTTACATTAGAGCCCAGGAGACAAGAATGAGATGGAATTCAAGTATGAAATGAAAGTAAGAGTGCTCTAGTTCACAACCTATTGATGTAACTGGTATGACCAGTCTGAAGTAAGGTTAAATTTGTTATTCAGAAGCTCAGATTGATCGTTTGAGCCCCTACCTGCCCAGCTTACTAGGACCCACAGCTTTACTCAACAGGGCTCTCTTCTCCCCGAATTGTTCAAGGACCTTAAAAGTTAGTCCCCAAAGACCAAAGGCAAACAGAAGCTCCTTAATTCACTGGCAGTGTTTATGTGCATGGGAGGTGGAAAGGGGAGGAGAAGTTAGGGGAGCCTTGGGGGCATGGGGAGAATTCCTTTCCGTCTGCAATTGCATCTGTGACATAGTTTTGTGATTGAAAG